GGCTTTTCTTATTTTGAGGAGCGACCTGCTGTGCTGGTTTGGGCTCAGTTTCCTTTGCATACGGGCCAGGAGCCCTTTATTGATGGGGCCAGCCGAAACGACAAGGACGGAACCCGTTTTGGATTTTATATAAAATTATTAATTAGAGGAGGAAAGTGCGTCAGGAAGACGACGACGAGGCTAGACATAGTCTGGCGTGCTCATGGTGCTGTGTTCCTCTTCAACCTCCTGAACTCCTGATTATCTTTTTCGACGTCTTTTATCGGATCGCCATACACCGACATCCTTAATTCCTTTAGAAATCGGATTCCCAGGTCAATTTTCTTTTCCTTTTTCGTTTTATGATCCCTTCGTCCCTTAAATTCCATCTGATCTCTCAATTCACAATCCTCTAGCTCCAAATTTGATTTTACAACATTGTGAGTATTTTAATTGGCTGATTGAATTCTGGGGTTTCTGCAATTTTCTTCCTTTTTATCTGGATTGTGGGAATTTGACTAGATTTTTCTTTTGCTTATTTATGACCTTTCTAAGAGGATTTATGCTAATTTTTGTCAAATATGATTTTAGATCAATTTCTATATGTTTCTTTCCGTATGGTATTTGGGAAAGTTGGAATTGAGAGGCTTGGTTTCGTCTTTCTCTGATTATGATTCTTTTATTGGGGAAATTAGTACATTTTTTCTATGAAAATCAGTTCATTTTCTTCTTTCTGAGCCAAATTTAGCTTCCAATTCTTTCTCATGTGTTTTACTTACATTTTAGTTATAGTGCCGAGATGTAATTCTTTTTTTCTTTTTTATTTTTAATGGAATTCAATTATGTGTATATGCTTTCTTCTTGGATTAGTTTGTAATTAACCTTAGTATACTTTATAGTAAGATGGCATCTTCGTCGGACTCATGGATGAAGGAATATAATGAAGCAGTAAAACTTGCGGATGATATCAATGGAATGATATCGGAAAGGATTTCTATGCCTGCATCAGGACCTGAAACCCAACGTCATGCATCTGCCATCCGGAGGAAGATTACAATTTTGGGGACTAGATTAGATGGCTTGCAATCCCTTTTGTCTAGGCCTGCTGGGAAACCCTTGTAAGTTGTCTTAATTAAGTAGCATGAGGGGGCTAATTGGTATTGGCTTTAGTAGCATTAGTTTTCCAATCTTACTTATTTTTAATATTTGGTACTTTGATGTTCTCGTGCAATTGTTGAATATGATTTCCCTCACTGTAAAATCGTACTTTTGTTCCTAGTTGAACCACCTCATGCTTTTAACAAAGTCTTATCCAAGTTGTTTGTGTTCTGAGCATGAACTGATACTACCTTTGTGGAATCTATGCATCAATCCTTTGAAGCTAAAATATTTGGCTTGGAAGAAAAAAAGTGTTCTTTGGTACAAGAGAGAAAAGTCAGATGTGAAGATGACATCTGGAGACTGCTATGGGTCATTTGCTAAGAGTTTTAACTTCTGGACTCTAACAGTTAAAATTGATACTACTCAAGAAAATTTGATGCTTCTTGATTGTGAAAGTTCATGACTTTGCAATGTTATCTGAGGTTTGTTGATGCTCCCTCTTTTTGATAACAGAACAGAGAAGGAGATGAATCGTCGCAGGGACATGATTGCAAATTTGAGAACAAAGGCAAACCAGATGGCTTCTGCATTGAACATGTCAAATTTTGCTAACAAAGACAGCTTGCTGGGGCCGGATACTAAACCTGATGCCATGAGCAGAACAGTTGGTCTGGATAACTCTGGCCTTGTTGGTCTTCAACGACAAATAATGAGAGGCAAGCTCTTCTAGTTTCTAATAAGCTTCTGCTAACTTGCAAGATTTCTTGAGTTTTTCTGCAATATGTATCCTTATTTGGGTATGCTTCTCCTGCAGAGCAAGATGAGGGCCTTGAAAAGTTGGAGGAGACAGTTGTAAGTACAAAGCATATAGCATTGGCAGTCAATGAGGAGCTTGATCTGCATACCAGACTTATTGTATGTTCTTTGTTTGCTCCTTTTCTAACCTTTTGCCTCTTTTAATTTTTTTACTATCTTGAAACTAAGTAACAGTTTTTGTAAGAGATCATTTTATGCCCTATAAATTTAACAATTCTTTCTTCTCCCACTGTGCAGGATGACTTGGACCAGCATGTGGATGTTACAGATTCCCGTCTGCGAGTAAAACTCTCAGCATTTATACACATTTCATATGCATAAACCAATGTTTCTTGATTAGAAATTGAACATGGTTACTTGTCCACCTCATTGTTTATTTTTTCACCAACATTTGCACACCATATTAGAAAGGGAAAGAATGTGCTTATTGCTCATTGAGTAAAATTCTATGTTGGTGACTTAAGCCTGGGAATTTGTAGTGTGTGTCATAATGCAATATTTGAAATTACCTCCATGAAGGAATGCAAGTATTTTCTTCTACTCTGGAAGTGGGGATATTTTATAATTGTTGAACAGGTGGTATCAGTTGTTTAGAATTAAGGGGGTGGCTTGTCTATCTGACTGAATTAAAAGGAACACAGAGGAGATGTATGCATTTAGGTTATGCTATTACGAAGGGAAAGAAGAACAAAGTTGAGAAAGGGAAGAGTTATATGTGTTATGTATTTGTAGCTTACTAGCATTTACTCATCTTCCTGCCTTTAAGAAATTCTACTTTAAAGACGATAGCTAAACTTTAGATTTTTATTTTGTTGCAACAGCGAGTGCAGAAAAACCTGGCAATTCTGAACAAGCGTACCAGAGGCGGATGTTCCTGCATGTGCATGCTTTTAGCTGTCGTCGGGATTGTGATTCTGGTTGTCGCGATATACTTGCTTATCAAGTACTTGTAGGAACCCAACAACAGAAAAACAGCAAGCTCCATCCTGTTGCTTGTGTGCGCGTGTCTTGTGTGGAATTGCATTTCGATTACTACTGTCACGAGTACATTTTGTTTTCGCTTTCTTTGTTTTCTTTGTTGCAATGTGTGGGTTTGCTGAGATCTTAAAATGATCGTATAATATAATATTGCAAGTAATTTAAGTCTCTACCAAATCTGCAGATTTCAAGCATTTCTTTCATTTCATATAATTTATACTTGTGGTTTAGGCTACGTGTATAAAAAAACTTATTATTTGAGGTGGATGCGTATAAAACCTCAAGATTTCAAAATGTGTAAATAAGGACTTGAGATTTGTTTTAGGTGTGCATAATCACTTAAAGTTATATAAAATCTTTTAAATTTTTTTATTTTTTATTTTCTTCTTATTTTTTTAAGTTAGAGGCGTTCAATATGATACATTATGTTATAAATTTATAATAGCATGTAACATTATACTTGTATAACATTTTTGTTATTCAAATTGTTCTCTTATCTTGTTGGGGTTGCTAAAGTGAAAAGTAGTGAAATCATCTCATCTTGATGCCCTAAAAGAATAATATGGCATGATAATAAATTTTTGTGTGCGTTCCAACTCGAGGTGTTGATATCTTTGTCCATATTCACAGTTTCAGTACCTTTGCTCCAAGCTTCAATTCTTTATGAAGTTGTTGAATTCAAGCACCAACCCAAAACATTCATTGTGATATACCGCATCACCTTCCTCTGACGTTGTAAAGTCCTTTAAAAAGTGCATAAAACCTCTCACATGCCAAGAGGATTCAACTTGCTAGAGTCCGGAGAATGGTAGACACTACTCATGGGTTAAGACAACAGCTCAAAACAAGTAACTTTAGTGCACATGGATAATGAAATTCCCCGTAACCCGGATCCAAATTATAAAAAAAAAAAAAATTGTAAGCACACAGTGCATACTAATTGTGTGGGCAAATGCAGTGGATGCATGTATTTATCGGTCAAACTCCTTGTATGTCTATTAGATATGATTATTTTCTGTAATTAACATAATTTAAAAATTTTACATTTCTTTAATACCTTTTATAATTTAAAATTAATAAAAAATTTGGTGGTAT